TGCGATAAAAATCTTTTGATAGTTTCCAAGATATCTGGTCAGTCTACCATAGCTGCTATTCCAACAGCTGTTTTACGTACTTGTTAACTGGCCCATTAACTCGTCCGCATCGAAGCCTCTCGAAACTATATCTTCTGGGTTTTGCTTTGTAAGTACATGGCGCCATTCAGCGTTTTCTGTTCCCTTGGACTTCAGCTATGTACATATGCATGCGCAAAACGCTTTTATTGAAGCGTCGGCAAAACCATGTAACTTGATCGGTGAAGATGGCTCTGTAAACACATATCGTGGTATCTTTATTCTTTGCAACTGAATCAAAGTCGATTTCAGTTGCTATTGAATTATCTAAACTCTGAGGGATAGATTCATCCCAGTCTAACTTGTGAAGCCAGAGCTCTTGGCAAAGGATATTTTTCAAGCGAGTCAAATAGCGACGATATCACCGAGAGAATGTTCCGTATTGTCGCTCTGAGACTCATGAATGAATCGTCTAGCTTGAATTGAAAGGCATCTTCACTCGGCAACCACAACACGTCAAGTGTTTTAGTTGTGTCATGCTCTGAGAGCGTTATCGGCTTGGCTGCGTTTGTTGCGGAGAACACAAACTTTAAAGTCGTGCCTGATGACCTCAGCAACTTTAGGGTGTGATGACTCGCTCATGTCACTAAGCTTTGTTAAACACCGTATTGCCAAAAATGAGGCAGGCGCAGTGCCGTAAGTCACAGTGTTTAACCTGAAGGACCCCAAAGAGTCAGATGCGTTCTTTCTCCACACTATAAGCTAGAAATCTCGATCTGCTTCATGACTATGACTTGCCTATACATCTTTTGGATGTCAGCTGTCAATGCATGTTTGTGGAGCTTAAACCGAAGCAGAGTCGAATATAGCTCCTCTTGAATGATCGGTCCGACCATTAAAAGGTCGTTCAACGTAATTTGACGCGATGTCCTACAGGACGCGGCGAAACAACGCATAATTTCATCGACGTTCTTTGTGCTCTTAAACACACAATGATGCGGAGCGAAATAGTGTGGAGTACTTGGAATCTAATTATCTATTTCAGACATGTGACCCAACGTCAAATATTCTTCCACGAATTCCAAGTTCATATGAATAAGCTCGGGGTCTCGAGACAAGCGTCTTTCAAGCTACAAAATACGCCTTTAGCGCCTCGCCCATAACTACTGTTTAACTGTTCGAACTTTCTTTGCTAAAGTCAACTCTTCGATTGGCCATAATTTCTGCAACGTTTTGTCTATCGATATATAAGACTCCTGTTGAAACCGCAGGTTGACATTATGAGGTTTATATGATTTATCGGCACTCTGAGACAATCCAGTCAAAAAACTCTTTTCGATCTTCTGTGGCTTGTGAAAGTATGGATCAGCCAATAGCAGGATTTTAGGAATTTGACAAGAACTGACATTGACCATATGGTCAGGCTGGTAATCCGAAATGTTCTTTAAAATCTACAGATCTATCGAGAACTCGCTGCAATTGACTCGCACTTTCATTACCATATGAATCTTCTTATTTACTTGAGTGTTGCATTGAGCAATCCCAAGTAAGCTGATACTAGCCTTTTCTCTACTACAAAATTAATTTGTGAACCAGAATCGAGTTAAGATCTTGCCAAAACGAACTCGCGACCTCTCGTTTTCACGCTAACGACTGCTGTAGAAAAACTACACTATCACTCACATTCGCATGCGTAGCATGTGAAGTCGATGGTTGAACATGTGCGGAGACAAGGGGTGTTGGTAACGCTGCAGTTTTGGAAATGGCAGAATATCTATGCAACAATGTGTTATTGGAATAACTGCATAATCCGCACTTGGCCTAACATCTGGCAACAGTGTCCCTTCCGAAGGCAATTGATGCATTAAAGGAACGCCGAAGCGAACTCAAACCGCTGCTGTATCACTCCATAATGGAATGATTGCATTATTAAGTTTTATCTTCCTATTTTATCTGGTCATTGGGTCAACTTTGTTCATAACGATGAGAATGAGAATTGCGTTAGATATCTTTTTGTCATCACGTATTGAGAGGAGCGAGCCATAGATAACGGAGACAGTATCAATCATAAATTTCAATGACGCAGCAAAAAGTTTCGCTATTTTTGGCAGGTTTAAGAGAGCCAAAATATTTGCAATGAATATTATACATTCATTGTCGTATACTCTACTCAGACTGTCTAATGCTTTCAAATAATTTTCCTTGGTGACTTAAATGCTTAAGAGTTTTACCAGAGAGACATGAGCTCAGATGATTAAATTTCTCTATGCTCGGAAACGCATGTAAGTTATTAACAAGAGCTTCGAACAGGCTAATCTTCTTGAGCACGGAGATTTTCCACTAAACCTGGGAAGTTTCAGATGCGATAGACGTGGCGTGCTTTTGTCGCTATAGAGAAATTTTCTAGCGCCACAATAATCATCAACTGGGTCAAGTTTGATATTTTAACGAGTTTGATATTTTAACGCTGTATCTATATGTAAGGCCAGCATTTCTAATCTACATGTAGGTTTCATTTGCCCTTAATTATCTGAATATTTAAACTTCTCCTTCTTCTTCTTTTTTGAACCGTCAAAACTTTCTTTAGTTGCCTTGGAATATAAATTCAATCTAGTAATTATTAATTTAAATTAAAAATCGAATTAAATATTTGTTGCAACTATAACAAGTTAATTTTAGACTTTCACGCTTTATGTGCCAAAGGACTTCAGAAAAATGATCGGCCTGATTAATAAAGGGTAGGAGAGCGAACGTCTCTTGACCGAAACTCGCCGAGGGAAGTGCGTACAACAACAATTGCACAGCCACCGCTTAGCACACAGCGGAATGAAAATAAGCGGGCTGCAGCTGGCTTGCTATGTGCGTGCACTGCACTTATATACAAGAGCTTAGTCTCGAGCAACTGTGTAATTTACAGTGGTCGCGGGTAATTGCAAGAGAATTACACACAATTACAAACGACAACGACTTAATTTTGAGAATTAATTTTAACAACTAATTTAACATTCGCTCAGAAGCTCTAAAGATAACACAAATACTATATATTATATATTATATATAAAAGTCTCCAACCGGCTTTGCCACCCTCCAGCTAATTGGGGCTTACTGTGCGCTCGACTGCCCACCCCCCCCCCCCCCCCCCTCTGATACCATGACCTTGCAACGAAAAGATATCGACGGGCCGCTAATATCGGACGCAACCAAATAAGCAAACTATCGATGCTACCGATAATGTCAAAATGCGCATTTTCTATATTAGTTCGCCCAGCCGGCTATTAAGAACGCCCAACGTAGGCCACACCCACGACCCTGAGATATCAGCACTGGTACCATCGCCGCCAGCGTCTCTGCAGGAGTTCCATTCGGAAACCGAAGTCTTTGACGGGATCCGTGGCGTCCTTGCCGCCAAACCCGATGTCCCTCTGTTCGAGCTTCAGGTACGCCCCTTTGAATTCTTTAGTGCCCGCCTCCAGCGAAAATTCACCAGCTCTTCGGTCCCCTACCCGGAAGTTTCGGTTGTTGGCGCTGTGCCCGTTCCGTCTGAGGGCTCTCGACGAACCTCGGTCTGGGGGGTGAATACCTCTTCCTCCGCCTTTGTGGTTTCGGCGGTAACGGCGGTGAAACCTTCCGCTCTGGAGCCCTTCGTCATTCGGGATGGTACGTGCTCCCGGGTCCGGCGCGATGTGTCTTGGTACACCGGCTCCGGCTCACAGGTGCGGCGCAGAATCGAATATATATCGTCCAGGGTCACCTGTCTCCAAAGCTCATATAACTATGGCCAGCACACACATATTGTAAACACAGAGTGAGACAAAACAAATAGTAAACATTCAAAAAACTCTATGCAAAACCTACCCTAATATCACATTTTATCACAGGTTATTTTGTCATACCACCAGGCATTGATGGACAGTCGCAAACGCTTCGCCAGCATGCGAACATGTCTTATTGCCATCAACCGCGACAAGAAAACCCCTCATGTTAGGGTATGCTGTCCTAGGTCACCTGTCTCCAACTTAAACACAGAATTAGACAAACAAAACTAATAATTGAATAAATAAAATTAGACAAATCTACCATAATATCACATTTTTATCACAAGATCCCTTTGTCATCGCCAACCTGCGAACGTGACTTACAGCCATCAACCACGACAAGAAAAACTTCTCATACTCATGTGATATTCTGATAACTGCCTCCTTCGTGCTTCTTGGATTTCAATACACGCTGCGCGATTAAGGTCCACCTACTCGGGCCACATAAGACAAAAGCGGTGTGGATCCTAAAGCCAAAAAAAACTTTTGTCTGTACCTTCATTGATATTTTTTTTGATTTCCGCCCCGATTTCAAAGAATCCGGGCGCTTCTTCAAATTGGGCGCCATATTGTTACGAAACTGCTTGTTTCTCTTTCCGCGCCGGCTTGCTCATTGGTTCTCTGGGTGTTGTCTCAACCCGCAGTCCGCACAATCGATACCAAAACCGATAAAATCAAACAGCCGGAAATTAACATATGAACAACACTAACAGCTGTGACAACAAGTAAATATAAACAAAGAAGGTGAGACGCTATTATAAATTAATAAAAAAGACACCATTAATCCACACTACTCTTCTCCAGCGTACCCGCCCTACCTGTGACGATCACCTGATCTCGTCTCCCTAATTTTGGACACTAGATGGGCTTCATCAGCCCGTGTCGGCTGTCATGCCCCCTCTCCCCATCAATTGACATTTCTCCCTTCAGTAGGTGCGTATAATTGGTTGCGTTTCTTATAATTATTAATAATTTCAATATCTATTATCTCCTATTTGTACAGGGCATCCCCATTCTGCAATTTACCATTCCGGGCAAGCTGACATTTGTCTTCAACTCGTCAACAAGTGCGTATTATACTTTGCATATTCCTAAACATATTGACAATTAATTTTTTGAATTTCTAAAATTTCGTTTATAGCAGAACAACAAAAAAAAAGACGTCACCGAGAGTTATGGCCAATTGCCGCCGGGAACAACGTTGGAGAATTTATAAATCATAATTGAGCGATTGGCTCCCCCCACACATTCATGCCGTATATACGCATGTATAACCACGCTGAAATAATGGTATGTAGTAAAAATTCTTATAAATAAAATAGTAATATGAATTAAATCGCTTATTTACCCTTAGCCTACCTAAAGAGTTCTCTGGGATGCTAAGGGCGATGTAAGTAATTGATTATTTCGTTTTTATATGTATATACATATGTACGGATAGCGTGGAATCAAAAACTAACTTTTCCTTTTCAGATTCCCCTGGCACTGGCCGTAACCTTTGGGTCGTCTCTTTCGACGCAACCTCGGCTATGTATGTATTCCCTTCTTTTCTTTTAAGTTAAATTTTAGATAACAGAGAAGGCAAAAAAAAAACTAACTGATCATAATTATGTAAATATTTCTTGTTCATATTTTAGAGCAACTCAAATGGGACCCAGAGTTAGACTGCCCTTCGGGTTCCCTGGGCCCTGCCTCTAGACTGGGGGTGGCAAAACGCTCTTGGAACGGACTCACTCGATACTATGGGTGTGTTCTCGCCCGTGTCCGCTTCGTCTCCAGGTCGACTCTCGGCGTCAGCGACGGGGCGAAGAGATGCTGGCAGTCATCGACGCGTCTTCTAGTGTGGATCCTCTCGCGGCGATGAGATTGGCCGGGCCACAGATAACGGCTAGTGAGGCGGAAGAAACAGCCTGTCGTCCTCTGCGTGGCACCTTGGTTGGCACTTCGATTGTAATTCCTTTATTTTGTTATCTGCATCCAGCCACTGATATTTTGAGGCTGGGCTGAGCATTAAATGTGCGAATAAATTTTGGCGCACGACACAAAGTTTTTCTTCTTATTTACGGCCGACGATTTTGTGCGGCCCGACAATTTAAAGAAAATTAAATTTTTGCGCTGCCTGATCTATTTTCTAATTTATATATACATATATATATATATAAATATTATATACATATATGTTTTTTTTTATTGTGTGGCGTTATTTCAATTTATTTATTATTTCGGCACAATTAAACAAAAAAAATACCTGTTTTATATCGTTCGGTATAATCCAATCATACTTTATGTTCTCTGGAAATTTTTTTTAAAAGGTGCGCTTGCGCACAACACGCCTGCCGCTAACCGCTGACCAAATCAAACTCGGTGCCGTACATTTCGACACACGCATAAATGTAAGAGGTGGGCCCCGTTGCTGCCCATCTGTACAGCTGTACTCTAGTTGTAGAATATACAAATATACATATTGATCGACGCAGATAAGTTTTTCGGGAACAGCGTGGTGAATCTTTGGGCAAAATTCGTGTATATGCGGTTTAAAGGGGTGTTATCCGCAAACTACAATATTTAAAGAATAATGTTAACGTAGTAACTTAATTCCTTGGCTTACTTATTTCTTGATATTCTGTATTCACATTTATTTGGTTGCGCGCTCAATAACTTAATTCATTTATAAAAGAATGGTTCGCGCTACGAAACGAAATTCGAAAAATCGACACTATCTTACGATGCTAGTTTGACGCACGTACTAAATAATATGATTTAGTTCACTAAGGTGAACTACTGAATTAGTTCAGTAGCTCATCAATCACACCAAGTGTTGTCTGAGAGGTGTAATTCTTATTATCATTATATAAATAAAAATAATGGGATTTGTGCCGTATACTACTCTCAGTAGTTTAAGGTAATATTTTTGTTGTTGTTGCTATTAAAAATCACACATATTAACATAACTTTATTGGTGTATTAGGGTTTTAAAATGTTGCCGTTTAATGTCGATGTACCCAGCACATTTTGCTGAACCTATATTAAAAAAAGAGTCTGAAATCATAAACAAAAAGGACGTCTCTCATGTACCAATTAAAGCGGCTCCAAATGATTTATCCGATTCCATATTCTATGGTGCTCTTAAAAATAAACTTTTAAAATATATTACTAAGAAGGGTAATGGAAGTTTAGCTAAACAGCTTTTAACTGATACATTGGAAACTATTAAACGGACACAAATTGAAAGGTTGAACCTTAACAATGCCGAAAAGGAGAATGTTATTATTGATACCGAGAGAATTTTAATAAATGCAATTGAAAACTCTCGACCATTACTCCAGTTGTCAGAAATAAAAAGAGGTGGAGTAAAGTATCAAGTCCCCATACCTTTGACGGAGAAAAAATCTTATTTTCTTGCTATGAAGTGGCTCTTGGATGCAGCACGTGAGAAAGATCGTAAAGTTCATCTGCCAGATAAACTTGCCTGGGAAATATTGGACGCTGCGCATGGACAGGGCCGAGTAATTAAAAAAAAGGACGATTTGCATAGACAATGCGAAAGTAATCGAGCTTATGCCCATTATAGATGGAGTTAAAAACCAACGATTTTTGTGAGCAAAAATTTAATTGGGCAAGAGGTCTGCTTTTATTTTGAAATGTGAAATTTGAAACGGAAGTAAATAAATGTACGCTTACGCAATGTTTCAAGTTAGGCTTGACGGCTTTTATTGAAATATTGTACAAATGATCCGAATTATAATACAGATACAAATATGCCTCTACGAGATGACTGAGTAGTACGATACCTGCCAATCGTACGAGTTCTAACGACTGAAACCCTTATTCCCGATAAATAGAGTAGTTGTATACCTCTGGCAACTTGTTAATTCCTTTGGAAACACTGTATTATTGCATATCAGGGAAAGCCTCATATAGAAGGACTCCACCTAGCTTTTTTGCGGCGGTTTGAGCCTTAACAAAACAGTGGGAAATCGTGAATTCCCATACATCAACTTTTGTCGTAGATTATGATACAGAAAATGTTAAGGACATCTGGTCTTGTACTGCAAGAAGCAATAGAAGATACAGATATATAGTCGCTTACTTTAATTCAGTTGTCAAACTTTACTTGATCTACAGGGTTAATTTGAAAATAGAATCTCCGATTATTAGAAGAAAACGATTCCAATTGTGGACTTAACGTGAGCAATATTAACACTATTGACTTTTGAGGTGCTATTTTAGTTTAGTTCGCTTTTTTTATCGAAACTGATTTATTGGTATGGCTGTGGCAACGACAATATAAACACTAAGATGAGTAACGCCATACAATAAAATGTTACTATGCATCTGGACTCTCACAAAATTAAGAACGAAAACGAAATCAGTACCCTTTCGCTCTCACAGCTTAAAAAACGAATACGTTAAAACTATAATGTTCTTTTAGCTTCGGCTATTCAAGGGAAGAGTAAGGCAATTGTGTTTGCATGTGTGTGTCTATAAATACACCAAAGCATATTTGTAAGTGTTGCGATTCCCTGCAGTGGCTTTTGCTGCCGAAATTTTTTTCTACTATGATTTATCCCAAATTTGTATTCGCATATGTTTGTTGTGTACTAAGGTCTGTTCGGTAGAAATTCATTATCTTTCTTATATAATATCTTTAAATCCTGGGCACGCCGAAGATTTTATACCCTTGCAGTCCCAACCTTTCATAATGCTCAGTGCTTTGCCCATATCTAAGAAGCACAGGGAAAATAATTAATACTGAGTATTGCCAAGATATCTTGAAAAACAAATAATTTTTTCCAAACAGCAACTTACTTTTCGACCGATCATTCCTATGGCAGCTATATGATATAGTAGTCCGATGCAAATAAGATTTTGCATAAATGTAGGGAGCATAGTAAAACTAATAAATGCCGAGTTTAGTCAAGGTGCCTTGGAAAACAAAACAATTTTCCATACAACAACTTAATTTTTGACCGATTGTGCCTATGGCAGCTATATGATATAGTAGTCCGATGCTCATAGGATTTTGCATATATATGAGCAGCATATTAAAACTAATAAATGCCGAGTTTGGTCAAGATATCTTGATAAACAAAAATGTTTTTCATATAGAAACTTCTTTTCGAACGATCGTTCGTATGGCAGCTATACGATATCGGTCCGATCCAGCTGGTTTTGAGATATGTACTGCGTGCAACAGAATGAGGCACTTCTGCAAAGTTTCATAAAGATTGCTTTTAAACTGAGAGACTAGTTTGCATAAAACAGACAAACGGACATGGCTATATCGACTCGGCTGTTGATAATGCTCAGGAATATATATACTCTATGGGGTCGGAGATGTCTCCTTCTATGCGTTACACATTTCACTACAAAATTATAATACCCTCTGCAAGGGTATGAAAAAGTACGCAAATAAATTTAAAGAATTAACACTTAACATTATTAACAATTTAATATCACTTCTTCTTTGCAGGGAGAGCGAGAAAACGGCTTGACGAAACAGACGTAGAGGAAAAATAAAAAATTAAATTAATATAATTTTATCCTAAATAATAAATATTAAAAAAAAATAAGTTTAAGCAGTCGCCGCTTGCGCGCAGCCGCTTCTTATTTATTTTTTTATTTATATAAACTATTCATAGAGTTAAAACTAAATGATAAGTGAATATCAGCAATGGCTGCCAGGGCCTTCAGCTGGATAATAGTTGGTACGTAAATGTAAGAAGTATTACCACTTAATTACTTTAAAATATTGTATTTTTAAATGTAAGGTTGTTGGTGATAATTTATATAAATATATTTTTGTATTTGCTATATTTACATTTCAGTTAGCTTGTGTAGCTTAGTTTATTAAAATATCGTTGTACAACTGAGATTTTTTTATACATTTTTCTGTACATATGTATATTCTTTTAATTAGGGTTAGCAAGTCAGCAATTATTTTCTAATGTTGTTTTTTTTTTTCTATACTAAGTTGGTTATATATCTGGATATATCTGTATATATCATTAATGCTATTATTTTGTGTACAAATTAAAAGCATTTATGTGGCAATTTTTGCCACGTGATCCACTAACTTATTATCGTTAATTTGTGGATGGCCAGGGATCCAAATTAGCTTTACTTTAGGAAATAGGTTGATTATTAATAATATAATTGTATAAAGCCTGAGGACCCAACCAGGCTTGGCGATATATCACCTAAGCCAACTGTGTTTTAATAAAAATGTGTGCTATTTTTGATTCAATACAACAAACATTTAAAAAAAAAAATTTTTATTTTTTTTTATTTATTATTATCATGGTTGTTTGTATTCGAGTCGGAGCATATAATAAACCTTCCTCTCATATTCTTTGCTAATTTAACAGCTTTCAAAATGCAACTATTTCAGCGGTTAATACTGTTGAGAAGTAGGGTAGATTTACAAACTTTAGTGTGTGTGTGTGTTTCTGTTGTAATTGCATAGCCAGTAATGTTATTTTCTTGAGAACCGTCGGTGTTTTTTTTTTTTTTTTTTTTTTTGTATAGGT